CCTACTGGGGATGTGCCCGCAACCAAGGTACAGGCCCTTGACCGGATCGAACCTGGGACCTTTCAGTCCACAGGCCCACGCTCTATCCACTGAGCCAAACCAGTTTGGCGTTTTTAATGGAAATTTTAATTTCACTCCACCAATTACATTTTAATGATAATGCCCTAAATAAATCCAAATGCTTACTTTTATAATTTTATCCTTTGACATGCTTAATACTGCAGACGCTCCGGGTTAGCCCAGGAGTACCAGAAGGAGCTTCAGATGCAAATGTCCTACCAGCAGCAGGCCCGGGAAGCACAGAAGGAAGAGGAGCGCCGGGAGCTGGAAGCAGGGAGAGCAGCAGACAAGAGGTGCCAGGACAAGATCCAGGAGCTCCTGTGCCACTCCCAAGTGCAGCTCCGAAACATCCATCCCATGCGGAGGGCATGCCCTGCCAAGCCCCCACCATAGTTTCATAAACATCAGTGTTTTTTTCAGTCTTTTAATATTTTTAACTAAAATACACTTATATGTTCCTTTGAGCTCATAGATAAACTTCCTTTTTCTCTGAGATTGCATAATGATACATAATTTTGTTCCTTTATTCGATTTCACAGACTTACAAATTTTCCTCACCTAGCTGACTTTATCCCATCTACCGCCTAAAGTGCGAACCCTGTTTTGTGGGGGATTTAGGCCTGGGAATCTTAGGCACTCTGTAAAATGTGTTTTACTGGTTAATTTTTTAAAAAGGTGGAAATGAACATGCTCATATTCCTAACATTCAACATTAAAATTCGAGTTTTCATTTTCTGATGGGTATAGAATTTCAGATTTGCAAGATGAAAAAGTCCTAGAGATTTATTTTACAACAATGTGAATATACTTAACACTTAAAAATGGTTAAGATGGTAAATTTTACATTATGTATTTTTTACCACAATAAAAACATCACACTATAAATTTAAAAAAATTTTAATCCTCACCCAAGGATATGTTTTTATCCGGGTTAGCCCAGGAGTACCAGAAGGAGCTTCAGATGCAAATGTCCTACCAGCAGCAGGCCCGGGAAGCACAGAAGGAAGAGGAGCGCCGGGAGCTGGAAGCAGGGAGAGCAGCAGACAAGAGGTGCCAGGACAAGATCCAGGAGCTCCTGTGCCACTCCCAAGTGCAGCTCCGAAACATCCATCCCATGCGGAGGGCATGCCCTGCCAAGCCCCCACCATAGTTTCATAAACATCAGTGTTTTTTTCAGTCTTTTAATATTTTTAACTAAAATACACTTATATGTTCCTTTGAGCTCATAGATAAACTTCCTTTTTCTCTGAGATTGCATAATGATACATAATTTTGTTCCTTTATTCGATTTCACAGACTTACAAATTTTCCTCACCTAGCTGACTTTATCCCATCTACCGCCTAAAATGCGAACCCTGTTTTGTGGGGGATTTAGGCCTGGGAATCTTAGGCACTCTGTAAAATATGTTTTACTGGTTAATTTTTTAAAAAGGTGGAATTGGACATGCTCATATTCCTAACATTCAACATTAAAATGATCTTCACTTCTTTGAGTTTCCTCCCAGGGAACTCTCTCAGGGATGTTCATATGGAAACTGAGTTTTACATTATAAACACTCATATTGCTTCACATATCATATTTCTAAAGTATAATGGCTACATAGTAGTCTACTGAGGCAGTGTACTATAATTTATTAAACATTGGCCTTTGCTTAAAATTTGTCACTACTACAAATTACACCGTAACAACAATATTCATTTGAATTATTTCGTTAGGATCAATTAATTCCCTGGGGTGGGATTTGGAGAGGGAGAGGGAGAGGGAGAGGGAGAGGGAAAGGAAGAGAGAGAAACATTGATGTGAGAGAGAAGCATCGATCGGTTGTCTCCCAGTATGTGCCTGATCAAGGACTAAGGATTGAACCAGCAACCTGGGTATGTGCCCTGACCAGGAATCAAACCTGTGACTTTTCAGTGTATGGGACAACACTCCAACCAACTGAGACACACCAGCCAGGGCTCACAGTATAAATTTAAAGTGTGGCTTATCTATTTAAAATGCTGCTTATCTGTGGAAGAAATTGTCTAGTTAATACTGGACAGAATGAGGCCAACTTACCCACCTAGGCACCAGCAATCTGAGACCACTGCAGGCTTTCCCTGTAGGGGCCTGGCCCTTCGATAGACAGACGAGTGGAAAACTGGCAGGTCAGCCTGTTCCCAGTTTTACTAGTCCTTGGAGAGGAGTGACAGAGGGGATGGGAAAAGGCCAAAACTCTCTCCACATCACAGTGAATATTTTGAAAACTTCCCTCCCTAAAAATTAATATTTGTTCTAAGATTATCTTAATTATTATATATTGAACACATTATTGGATTTGTCATCTGTTTCTTCCCCACTCACCTTGATTTTAATGGGAATTTTAATTTCACTCCACCAATTACATTTTAATGATAATGCCCTAAATAAATCCAAATGCTTACTTTTATAATTTTATCCTTTGACATGCTTAACCTACTGGGGATGTGCCCGCAACCAAGGTACAGGCCCTTGACCGGATCGAACCTGGGACCTTTCAGTCCACAGGCCCACGCTCTATCCACTGAGCCAAACCAGTTTGGCGTTTTTAATGGAAATTTTAATTTCACTCCACCAATTACATTTTAATGATAATGCCCTAAATAAATCCAAATGCTTACTTTTATAATTTTATCCTTTGACATGCTTAATACTGCAGACGCTCCGGGTTAGCCCAGGAGTACCAGAAGGAGCTTCAGATGCAAATGTCCTACCAGCAGCAGGCCCGGGAAGCACAGAAGGAAGAGGAGCGCCGGGAGCTGGAAGCAGGGAGAGCAGCAGACAAGAGGTGCCAGGACAAGATCCAGGAGCTCCTGTGCCACTCCCAAGTGCAGCTCCGAAACATCCATCCCATGCGGAGGGCATGCCCTGCCAAGCCCCCACCATAGTTTCATAAACATCAGTGTTTTTTTCAGTCTTTTAATATTTTTAACTAAAATACACTTATATGTTCCTTTGAGCTCATAGATAAACTTCCTTTTTCTCTGAGATTGCATAATGATACATAATTTTGTTCCTTTATTCGATTTCACAGACTTACAAATTTTCCTCACCTAGCTGACTTTATCCCATCTACCGCCTAAAGTGCGAACCCTGTTTTGTGGGGGATTTAGGCCTGGGAATCTTAGGCACTCTGTAAAATGTGTTTTACTGGTTAATTTTTAAAAAGGTGAGATCCAGGAGCTCCTGTGCCACTCCCAAGTGCAGCTCCGAAACATCCATCCCATGCGGAGGGCATGCCCTGCCAAGCCCCCACCATAGTTTCATAAACATCAGTGTTTTTTTCAGTCTTTTAATATTTTTAACTAAAATACACTTATATGTTCCTTTGAGCTCATAGATAAACTTCCTTTTTCTCTGAGATTGCATAATGATACATAATTTTGTTCCTTTATTCGATTTCACAGACTTACAAATTTTCCTCACCTAGCTGACTTTATCCCATCTACCGCCTAAAATGCGAACCCTGTTTTGTGGGGGATTTAGGCCTGGGAATCTTAGGCACTCTGTAAAATATGTTTTACTGGTTAATTTTTTAAAAAGGTGGAATTGGACATGCTCATATTCCTAACATTCAACATTAAAATGATCTTCACTTCTTTGAGTTTCCTCCCAGGGAACTCTCTCAGGGATGTTCATATGGAAACTGAGTTTTACATTATAAACACTCATATTGCTTCACATATCATATTTCTAAAGTATAATGGCTACATAGTAGTCTACTGAGGCAGTGTACTATAATTTATTAAACATTGGCCTTTGCTTAAAATTTGTCACTACTACAAATTACACCGTAACAACAATATTCATTTGAATTATTTCGTTAGGATCAATTAATTCCCTGGGGTGGGATTTCTGTGTCAAAGGGGATAAACATTTTCATATTTTGCTTTCAACTGCCACATTTGCAAAAGCAGTTTTTAGAGAGTTAGACTTTTTAGAGAAATGTTTTCAAGGCCAATTGGTATTCTCTCTGTAGATTTAAAATTTATTTAAGCAAATTGTATGCTAGACTCTCTGAGAGTTTTGGTTTTGAATTTTTATCTACTATAATAAGGTATATTATATTAACTTATTTGCAGGTACTAAGTAACTTTGCATATGTAGGATAAATACCATTTGGTCATGTTATATATTTTTTAACATGTTGCTACATTTCATATATATATGTGTGTATATATTTATATACACACATATATATATGCCCTGTGTTGATCTTGGTCTATTATATATCTTGGATCTAGGCCTATTGTGATGTCTTTGTCAGGTTTGTTATCAGTATATTGTTGGCCATGTAAAGGTATAAGGGTGGGGCCCTAATCCGATAGGGCTGGTGTCCTTATTTATTTTATTTTATTTTTCCCATCACATTTATTCCCTCTGTGCCCTCCTCCTCCTCCCCTCTCCCCACCGTGTCCTTATAAGAAGAGGAAAGACACCGAGATTGCTCTCTCCCTGCATGCAGAGAAGACAGGTGAGGATGCAGTGAGAAGGTGACCATCTTCAAGACGGAAAGGGAGTGAGTCCTCACCTGAACCAACCTGTTGGCAGCTTGATCTTACACTCCCAGCCTCCAGAACTGTGAGAAAACAAATGCTGCTTAAGTCCCTCCTCCCCACCCATTCCCGCGCCCCCCCCCCCCAACTCCTGGGATTTGTTATAGCAGCCTGAACCCATTAAGACAGAGCCCTATCTTCTTTAAAAAAATATATTTTATTGATTTTTTACAGAGAGGAAGGGAGAGGGATAGAGAGTTGGAAACATCGATGAGAGAGAAACATCGACCAGCTGCCTCCTGCACACCTCCTACTGGGAATGTGCCCGCAACCAAGGTACATGCCCTTGACCGGAATCGAACCTGGGACCTTTCAGTCCACAGGCCCACGCTCTATCCACTGAGCCAAACTGGTCAGGGCAAGACAGAGCCCTATCTTATTCCCCTTAAAGTCTCTCATAGTGTCTGGCACATAGACATGACCACAACAAATGTTTGGTGAATTGAACTGTAATCCCCAACTGAATGAGTGCCCCATGGTGCTGGTGGAGCCAGGGTCTGGGATCTCTGACAAACCCAGTGGCCAGTTCTACTCCAGTACACCTCAGAAGTCGGACACAGGCCACCAGCTCTTATCTATAACTGGAAAACCAAAAAATCTATGAAAGCAGAAAGTTTGATGCTAAACCTCATTTATCAGCAAAGCCTGACCTGAACAAATAAGAAGCTACTTAAAATGATCTATGTTTTACTATAGAATTAGTAATGTTTTAAATTACTGGGCACCACCCTTGCTCTGGCTGAGACTGTTACAAAACCAAAGCCTTAGGCATCTGCTCACTTTTCTAAAATCCCCAAAGTTCAGACTTCAAAACACATCTGGCCCCAAGGGTTTTAGAGAAAGGATTGTGGACCTGTGGTACATAGGGGTCAATACCAACCCCACAGCTGTCAACCGGAGGAAGACGGTGGGACACACGAATTAT